TGCACTATATCATAATACAAAGTCTCTTAAACATTCTGACCACTTAATCATTCTACATTAAACTATTCAGCAACTGCCAAACAACCCTTAGAATCTTATCCGGTAAGAGATATAGCAAGAACCGAGAACATTTCCTCATAAGTGAGAAATAACTTCTTTTTACTTAGTAAGCGCTTGTCGGATAAAAGATGCTTACCAACAATCCATTTTAATGACCGAGAATGTCACCCATTAAGATAAATGAATCATCTCATCTCAGGAACTACTGAAAGTCCAAAAAACAAAAGTGATTTGTCATCAAAAATCTACACCAAATATTAAAATTAAAGAAACAAGAAAAGGGAACTACTTGATTTTCTTTATACATGGTTAATAGGAAATTACAAGGGCACTCCGAATTCAGGTTCAACATCCCTTCTACAGATGAATATTAGTTTACTATTTATTCGATAGAAATAAAAGACCAGAATGACACAACTAAACTTTAGCACCCAACCCTCTGGATTTAGGGAGTCTGCTTGCAACCAGAGGTTGCACCACGCCCTGTGAGTCTCGCCCAAGACCCATCCCTTCCACGAACCCCATTTTGGCCATCATCTTAGACCCAAATCCTTTTGTATGCTTTTCAAAACACCCAAACTGCACATTTCCAGATTTACCCCTACTCTCACTGCCCCTCGAACCTTGGCCAACAGCCCTGTTTGGTCTCTGAGGTGGGGTATTCACATTCATAGGCTCTGATGTGTTGCTAGTTTCCGGGATCTTTGCTCCTAACCCGAGTGATTTGGGCCGTTGGATTGCCTCAATCGGCTCAGCTATTCCTCTACCGTCTTTGCCCAATCCACCTCCATCTACATAACCCATCTTTGCCATCATTCTTGAACCAAAACCTGTTGTGTGCATCTCAAAGGCACCATAACTTGACGAGTTCACCACGGGTTTGATGCTGCTTAAGGTCTGGTCGGTTGATTTTGGTTCCTCAATAACCGCGATAGTCTCAGCTCGCTCAGACACCATGTTACCACTCGAGATGAATGACACGGGCTGTGCAGCATACGAGCCTATTTTGTCTTTATCTCTCCTTTTCTTCTTGCTTGATTCACCAGGAGTCATGGTTTTGGCAGATTTTGACTCCAGTGGGCTCATGAAACCATTAGCTCTGGTTGTGCCCTTCTTACTTCTGTTTGAAGCGACCTTATTCACTGTCATATCATTGGCTTCATCATCAACTCCCAACAGCTGAAAGCAGAAGTTTATGCCCAAATGAAATTTCCAACATATTTCACCTCAAATTTAACCAAAAAGTGTTGTTTTATTTACCTTCTCCAAGCGAAGTCTGTCACTCGATGAAGGCATACCTGTGTGCTGTGTTCGTGTCACTGTTACAAACCTGAATAGCATAATAAAGTAAGCCACTAGCTGTTTAAACTTGTGGGGAAGAATGAACCGGGTGTTCATAACAATCCAGATATAGGGTGAATTTGGTAAGCAAACAAGACTAGACTAGACAAGACAAGACAAGTGAGGGTGAGGTTAACAGGCGAAAAAATTGTGAAAGGTTTTAGGGTTTTAGTTTGAGATGGGTAGTTTAGTAATTTACCAATCTTGTCTTATCTCCCTAACTTTTTTTCCACCTATTTTGGTGGGACAGAAAAAAATGCATTTCTGTACCACCCAGGCTGTTTGGTTCATTGAATTCAAGGGATTTCAAAGAATTCCGAAGGAATTGGAATGGTTAATTCCTTTGACCAAATTTCAATTCCTTTGTTTGGTTCACTTATTAAAATATAGGAATCCTTTAAATTCCATACATTAAAGATTTCATCATTCCTTCGCATAAGTGAATGAATTGAATTGAATTCCATTCCTTTCCATTCCAATTCCTACCAACCAAATGCTTGGTCAAATTCCATTCCAATTACTTCAAATTCTTTCGATAGATTCCAATTCCACCAATTTCCATTATGCGAACCAAATACCCCTCAGGGGCCTGTCCTGTCATATTCTAATGTCATGCCAAATGTGGGACAACAAGTTTTTGTGCTGTCTTGTCCTATGTTGTCCCATCCTGTCCCGCGTACCAAACGCAACCATAAAGTCAAACATCAGCGACTATTTTTCACTTGGTTTCTATAAAGAGTTGATAGGGCATAGATATGAACATTAGATCACAATAAAGAGAGGGAAAAGAGAAAAATATGCATAACCTTTTTCGGCCTGAACCTTGAGTGACACTACGCAGACGATAAATTGCTGCTAGCCTTTGAACCTACAAAATTTCAGTTATTTGAGTGTCATATGAATTAATGCCGAAATCGTGTATATGATGCTTAATCATTTAGAAAACAAAAACAAGTGATTTTTGAAACCTGAGAACAATCCCGGGAGTGCATAAGTTGAAACGACATAATATCACCCTCATTCTGCACCATCTGCTCTAGTTTCTGCATTTAAAACCAAGCAAATGTTCATAAGTCGTTTTGGCGAGCACAATGAATTAGTGTATCATGTCATGACTGTATCTGGGGAGAAGGGAACTAAATTTGTAACTCAAAGAAGCACTTAATTTATATGCTCGACAAATGTATTTTTGCTTACAGAATTTATTTGCTCAAGATCAACACCACGACGTATCATTCGCTCCCTACGCTTAGAAACAATCCTATCTTGACGTAATTTCTTCTTGTCGCCTGAAATGACACAACTAATCAAATTTCGAAACTACCCTTTAGTAAACCAAACCAAACCGGTATATCCCACCTCAGGTGGGGTTTGGGGAGGGTAAGATGTAGGTAGACCTGACCTCTACCCCAAAGAGTAGAGCTGTTTCCGTAAGAACCAAAATCAGTATCAGCAATAATCGGTATAATAACACTGGGTAATAGAAAATTTATGTTTCTGTAACAAGCATCTTAAACTTGAATGGAGAAAAAGATGGAGCATATAGTCGATAGCATTGTTGTGGCTTGGTGCTTGCTCTTTTAGTTCACCATGTATCACATAAAGATGGAAAAAGTGCATACCCTACACTGAACAGAATGTACCAGTGTAAAGATGACTATGGAATATATTTTACCACAAAATCTCCGGAAATTTTTACTCTTTTCAGCTTTGGATGGCCATGATTGGGGAAGCTTTGCAGCATGCTTCTTTTTTCCGTGCAGATATCTCGGATTCTTTTCAAGCATAAGATCAACTAAAACAGGGCAATCATCAGTAGCAGCTTGAAACTTGCTAGGCTTTGCTCGACTTTTCTTCCTTGAACAAGGTTTCTTCATGCCATATTCCCTTGAAGCATCTTGAAGCCCAATCCCGCCTATCCCCTTTAGCATTTCATTAAAACGCCCATCGAAGCTGTCAAGAGCTTGTCCTACTAGTTGATCAACATTTGCAACTTTGTAACTCCCACCAATCCCTTCAAAGTAATCTTTTGCAATCTCATCATCTATATCACAACCACTGTTATAAGCACCATCACCATCAGATGAGTCAAACGACTCTTCGGAGTCTGAAGAGTCTAAGCTTTCTTCATCATCATCATCATCTTCTTCTTCTTCTTCCTCCTCCTCATTAGAGATATCATGGGTGTACAACTTCATGCCTCCAATTGACAAGAATCCTGAATTTGTCACTGGAGAAGATGAGGCACTAACATCCGAGGCATCATCATCCATCATATCAGTTTCCATTTCCTGTGAGGATGAGGAATCAAAACCTGAACATTCTTTCTTTTCAATAACTGGAGATGCTTCAATACCACAAGGGCTTTCTTCTGCTACATCATGAAACCCTAATCCTCGATGACAACTATCATCCACCTCAAAACTTGCACCGTAATCATAAGTATATTTGACAGTTTCAGAACCGGTAGCTGCTGTTTCATCTATATACGCAATAATCTTTGATTCCTTGGAATCAAGCAAAACAATAGGGTTTGATTTTTCAAACTTGTTATGCCCATCACCACTCTCATCTACAAGTGGACTCACCTGCAAAAGCCAATTTGGTCAAATCGCCAATACGAAGAGTTGCTAAGTTTTCATCCTACTCCCAATCACCAAGAATCAACGATTTTGAACACACAAGAAAATGAGAACCATTCTTTAACAAACCAAGCATCTCATAGAACACCCAAATGAATTTCTGAATTCAACAAATCATATTATCTCTACACTCTTTGATCCTATCACATGTTACATTTCAATATTCTCTCAGTTCCCTGATGAGGCATACACATTACACCCGTTGATTTTCAGATTCAAAACTGAAATAGAGTTATTCTTTTATGGATTAAAGTCCAACAACCTTCTATAGAAGTGTTTCTTATATAATTTAATCTAGTTACATTATTACCAATAATCAAGCATCAAATATCAATTTCCAAATCGAGACGAATCCAAAATATGACCTAAAATACAAAGAGAGTGCCAATTTCCGCAAAATGCGTCTGAAAATTAAAAATATCACAACCCTAATGATCAATAAATCATCACCTGAGGATATTTATAAGCAAAAGCATTCTTTGTTGGCTTCTGAGATCCGGCATTCCTCGACGTAGAGCCAGAAGCTTTCGATTTACCACCAGAACTACTACCAATCTCAAATCTCACTGCAGATTTGTTCTTCGATGCATTCAATTTATTCCCAGTAGTGTTGGAATTATTACTCTTTCCTACAAAAACAAATACAACATAAATTTCATCCCAAAAAAATCCCAATCAATGATTGAAATGATATACCTCTGGAAGGGGGAGAAGTGATGACGGGAGAATAATCGGATAATAAACCACCCTCCACAAATAAAGATGGTTTCGTGGGTTTTCGAATCTTTGATTTATTGAACTTTTTCTTACTATTCCCTCCGGCCATCATTAATCGATCTGAAGGAATGTCCCTGTATGCAAGAATCCGATGAATTCTTATTAGGTCTTTTCCGTTTATCGTCGGACCAAAATAGAGACGATGGGTCGGGTTTTTGGGTTGGTCTGGGTTGTGATTCTGTGTGTGTTGGTGTAGCTTCTATCGCGTGTGCTTTCTCTTTTTTTTTTTCTAAATATATTTGAGTAAATTACAAATCCCGTTCGCCAAAAGTCTAAATTTTATTTTTAATTAAAATAAATTTTATCAATAATTTCCTTTTATCTGTAAATATTCTTTTGTAAATGTAAGTATATTTTTTGTATATTTGTTTTATTTTATATTATAAGTATTTTTTTTTCAAAAAAAATATTTAGAGATTTAATCGTTCAAAATATGAAAGTATATTGGTTTTTTCCAGATTTTTTTCATTATTCTACCACATTAACAAGTTGTATAGGTCATAAGAATGTATCTAACAGGTTTTAAAAAGTTTAAGAAGTTATTTAACAGTTTTTGGAATGTCCAAGAACTTATTTGTTCCAAAAAATTGTCCAAAGACTTAATCATTCCAAATACTAAAGTTCATTGGATTTTTTTAGACTTTTTTCATCTCGTTCATATGGTTTGTTATTTTTTTTATTTTTTATCCATCAAATTTATTTATTACAAATTTATTTGTGTGGTTTTTAGTTGGTTGGTTGTTTTAAGAGTTATTAAATATTGTTATTTGTTTTAAGATTTACTTATAAAAAATGTTAAATTTTATATGCAGACAAATACCTGACCTTTTCTATCCTTCCATCTCATTACTTTGATGAAGTTTTTGACATCACTGTCGACATTTTCTTCTGTCGGACCAAGAAATCACCAGCCCCCACTTCTTCGATGAATATCTCCTCCCACTTCTCCGTTAAAGCATCAGGCCATCCACACCCTTAAACCTGTATTTGATTTGTTCTTCCCTTCCTTGTGTTGTACAACTACTGATTCTCCCTGTTGAGTTCAAGTCTCTAGCTTCACTAAATTCACCAATTCTGTCAAAATTTTGTTTCTTGAGTTGTCTTTTGCGAACAAACCTTGTCGTAATGTTTCTATCAGTATTTCTAATCCGTTGAGTTGGTAGCTGATGATGCTAAAGTTTTTGTCATCGAATTTAAAGATGTGGAAAGTGATTTTCAAGTTAAGAAGTCATTGACGGAAGAGGGTGAACTGTTAGGGTTTGTTATCCCTGGATATGGTTTTGGTTATAGAGCGTTCAGATCTATATACAAATTCGAAGAGCCTTTTGGAGTCAAGAGATGAAACTTCTGCATCTTCAATTCTCGTTAAATACTCTACCAAATTGGTTTGAATGCCATAACGAACTGATTTATTATTATTATTATTATTATACATGAGTTATCAATATTGTAAAATTGATTTTGACACATTCATTTGCTACAACATATGTATCTAATAACCTGAAAAGGTATAAATGAAATGTATTTAAGGTTCTGTTGTCATTTATCCATAAGGATTTTTGGAAGCTCTGCATTTACAATGATTTTAATTTTTTACTTTCCATAATCAAATGCCGTTTCATAACCGATTTAAACCTTTATATGAATGGCATTTGATTCCCACTTCATCAAACAAAAAAACCCACTTCATCTTTGTTTGAGGATCAGTCGATGCGTATAAACTGATCCAAAAACCTATTATTAAAAAAACCCCGTTATGGATATAAATGATGGGTTGGATTTCTTTTGGGCCATAAATAAATAAAGAAGTGTAAGTCGTTGTCTGTATGGGCCGTCGACATTGGATTTCTTCGGCCCAAGGTAAATAAACATGGTCCTTTAGATTAGAATTGAGGTTTTTCTGTCCCAATAACTCGATAAGTATATTATTATTAGGGAATGAATTTACTTGTTTATTTTCTAATTTTTCTGTACACTAAATTATAACCTTTTTTCTATTTATTTTCTCTGTTAGATAAGAGAGCATATTTGATTTTTAACTCTAGTAAATTGTTATCACAATTGGGAATTCTAAGATTAAGATCCGATCACGAAAATGAGAGAGGTTTCCGAAGGCATTAAATTGACAGTTGAGTTTCGACTAAAGCTAAATGCCGGGATATCTTAAGTAAGGTTTTAGGTATTGAAGACTTGAGTTTGGATGTGATTTCGAGAACGTAACTTGACATAATTGGAGATTGCAAAGAAAAAAAAGCTTGTGCTTGATAAATTAAAATTAGGGTTTTTGTTTTGACATATTTTTGTCACTTTAATCATGTCAAGATAGAAATTCTAGTAAATTTTGATTGAGAAAGAATTTAAGTGATGTACAAGTCAATTGTAGACTTAAATGAATTCCTAGATTACGAACTTGACTTGTATGATAATCTTTACAATGTTTAGACAACTATCGTTTGTGAATAAGCTAAGGAATTGACTCCACATTCTTTAGGACACGCGCTTAATTGGTGTTAATAGAATTTAACATCCTTAATATGTTATGTTGTGTTAAATATAGCCTTTATTTTATTCAATCTTGACATTTATGGTTGTTTTTGTAGGTTGTTGTAAGATGAGGGGTTGGTTCTGTTATTTGTGCAAATCTGTGTGGCTGGTTTGTAGCTGTCAAGCTGTTTAAGGGTAGCGAATAAATTATTGATAAATTGGAGGTCTAATCTTGTAATTGCTTGGTATATATACGAGCTTGTACCTAGTTTGATGTATCAATCGTCATTTTTTATTCTTCAATTTCTTAGAGAGTTCTCGATAGATCTTTGGTCTCTTTGATAAGATTTTTAGGAGTTTTTTATTTGTTTTCATATCTCTGTATAGATTTGTAAGTTTGTACATGGTATTAGAGCTCTATTTGTTCTAATCATATAGAACGAGGTTCTTCTGGTGGCTTTTTATCTTCTTTGTCGTTCAATTGGATGACTCTTTGTTCCAGATTTGGGCGTTCTTCGCATCATTAAGAGATTTGTTCTAATCATCATTTTCTATCTTTGGTTTTCTCCTATTCAAGTAAGATTTATGTTTTTTATTCTTTGTACGGTCTGGTTTATTTGGTTGTTCTTTGTTTCGAAGAACAAACCCTTTCTGTGTTTAGGTAAGTGATCTTGTTAGTCTTGTGTTGCCTCTTCCGGCTTGCATGTATCCTGTTGGTTTTCTTTTGTATTGTGTTATGAAATTTTTTGTTCTTGGTTTACTTTCGACCTTTTAACTCCTCTTTGAGTGAGATTTCTATCCTTTCTTTTTTTTGTCAGTGCTTTATTGTTATCTGGATATTCTGTTTTTGGTTGTGGTGCACCCTTGTTTTGAAGCTTTCTGTTGTGACATTCAAGTCACCCTTTGGTGTTCTCTTCTCTGCTTCTGGTTTTCGCAATATCTGTAGATCTTCTTTTCCTTCCTTGTCAGTAGCAAGGCCACTGAGTCAGTGCCCTTGGCCTATAGGCAGGTTCCCTTTGTGTGTGCTTGAGGGTTTTATGTGTGTGGTTGGATAGTTAGTTTGACCTAGCACATTTGAGTGTTTTAGGAATCCTGCCCTTTGCTATCTCGTCTGCTTCTTGTCTACTCTTTTGCTTGGGTTGTTGTATTCTATTGATGTGATGAAATGAATTGTTTTATAACCAAACGAGCTTTAGTTGGCCTGGCCTCTGGGTGGCTTTACTTCTGGTTGTTCATTTGAACATTGGAAAAATATTTCAATCCATGATAAAAGAATCAAAGGGGCTCTGGTTGATCTTCATGTTTAACTAAAGGGTCTCTGGTTGTAATTGAAACTCAAATTCTTTTAGTATTTAACATTTCTTGACCTAGAGGCTCTGGATAGACGAACCACAGAGGCTTTGGTTGGTAAGAACCAAAGGGATTCTAGTTGGCCCTTGCTTCTATTTATCCTTGTTTTTTGTTGGCCTTGCTTTGGTTGGTAGGACCAGAGGATCTCTGGTTGGTCTTGCTCTATATGATGCAAGTTTTACCCATGAAGTATATTTAAAAATATTGGGTATTTGAGTGACTCTTCAGACTTGTATGTCTGAAGTATAACTCTGAAGAATGACTCTTCAGACTTGTAACTCTGAAGTATAACTCTAAAGAATGACTCTTCAGACCTGTAACTCTGAAGTATTTTTTACCCGAACTCTAAAGTCTTCTTTTTCAGATATTTGAAGATAAGGCTACAGACTTCCAGACTTCCATACTTGGCCCAAATTGCTTTAATAAAACTTTCATGATATTTAGGACAATTTTGATCCTAACAGTTGGTATCACAAATATGGATTTATAAACTTGATTTGGTTATTTTCACCCTGTAATTGCATAAAAAAAGATTTCCCATTAGACCTCAAGGTCTAATCCTCATTTTGTGTTTCAAAAACGTGCATTACAGGTTAGGCTTAATCAAAAGATAAGGGAAAAGGGAAATTGTGATATGTCTTATATGCTTACATGAGATGTGGAGAACATGTTGCTTATCTGTGGTCTTTTTGAAATATTTGTTATATATATATATATATATATATACAAGTTTTGTATATGGATTTTATGGAAAAGTTTGTTAGCTACTTTTATAATGTAATTTTTGTATATTTGGGATCGAATATGTAAATTTGTATTTCTTGATATATGAAATACTTGGTTATATGCAAATATGATTTTGGGTGTTACAAGCGTGCTATCAATACGATATCATTTATGTTACATATCGTGAATCATAGCACGACACCGTGTTACCATCCTACACCACAGGAGTGTAGTATTTGTCAGATACTAAAACTATTTATAGTTTTTTTATATTATTTCAGATTTTCTTATTTATCTTAACTCTAAAATTAAGTGCATTTTCATGCATAAAATTAGTTGTGAATTAATTAAATGTAATCTTCAATAAAACTTTAATCACCTGCAATAAATAATTACACGATAATGATATACAAGACACCTTTGACTTTCACGTCGGTTTCAGTCTTAATTTTCTCTACACCTCAAGTTAAGGCGTTTAGCCATCATCGCTTGATTTCTTCACTACAAGAAACAGGATTGTCATCACTAAAAGTCCATTTATCCTCAAATGATTTATAGAGACGTGTCGTCGTTATGGCTTGTAGATGAAACTTTTCATCACTACATGCGCTTTGTTGAAA